ATTTTAACTTTAATTTTTTGTCCCTTAATTTTAAACACTTAGTTTGTGAGAAATTTCTATTTCTACATAAGGCTTAATTCTGTTTTCTGTTTTGTATGCAGCATGATCATCAGTTTCAGACGCTGAGTTCAATGTTCAGGAAGCTGGGTGTTTTGAGTGGGTGCGTGTGAGGGAACATTAAAGTAGAATTCTTAGAATCATCTGTCTAACACTGGAACTTTCCTAGAACCTATCTATCTATCTACTTTAGTTTTCACATGAAGTTATTTCTGTATAAATTTAAATGATTGTTGAAAGGATAATGTAACTTTCAAATAAATGTGACCAAAAAAGATCCCAGAAAAATATTACTATTATCATCTACAACAATAAGAGACCTGAGAACTCCTGTAACTTGCCAAGAAAAGGGGGGAAAAAAATCCTAGAAGTAACTTCACTAATATTCCACTAATGAAAAAGTCTCAAGAATTGTTAGACACCAGTAAAACAGATCTCTACTGTTCTACTTGTTATATCACCGTTGGCATTTCTACATTGTAGCAATCAACACTGCTAGTATGTAATTTTCAGTAAAATCAGCTTCCTACTGAGTTAACTAAATAAATAAACCATCTCCGTGAAATTATTTATCTAGCCACAAGCAAAACAGAAGAGAAATTCGGTCTTTGACTCTCAGACCAGGACTTAGTTTCCAGAATTATTCCACCAATTTTCTTTTTTAAGTCTAAGAAAATATTTACTATGTAAATGCCTAACATAAAACCGAACTACTATATTCAAATGGAAATGACCATATAGATTATGAATGAACAAAGTGATTAGTGTGATTATGAATAACTTTACATTGAGGTGTAAGTCAACAGGGCGCAATAGTCATGACATTGCCTGTGAAATAATATGCAAACTGTTCACATTTGATATTAACATCAAACTTTCAGATCAAACATTCATAAGGTCAGTCTTAAAGAACAAAAATTATACTACCTAAAAACAGTATAATAAGGTAGCAAAGGGAAGAATTTTTAATGCTTTTATTTTTATTTTAAAAGAAACTACTAGTTTGAAATTGAAGAAATAGCAATAGTTCTAAAATTTGCTCTAGAAAATTGCTTCAACTTGATATTTTTAATAAACTGCCTCAAGTCTGAACTCTTTATTACAATCAAAATTATATATTATACTATCTTTAGGACAGAGTACTAAGCATTTCTTTTTCTAAATCCAATTGCATTCATGGTATTAAAAATTTACCTGGTTGATTTAATAAAGTGAAATCAGGCCACCCAGTGGTTAATATGAAGTACTGCGCACATGAATATTTTATTTCCAAATCTGGACTGTGCAGACCAGCATTACTATAGTAAGAAAAATTCGACTTTACACAATCTTTGACCATTACTAGCAATACTGAAATACTGATGGAGGTTCTACCTGGCTATTCATAAGCAATAAAGAATGTGAAAACATTTGTATTTGTTCCATTAGAGTATACCTATTTTTAAATGAGAAAAGACTACAGCAGGTCTTCAAAATAGGGTATATATTAAAACCTTACCAACTATAAAAATCTTAACCCCTATATTAACAGATGAACAAGTGGGGCAAATTTCACTTGCTTTTCCAAAACAATATTGCCAGTTAATGACAAGCTAACTTAATCAGTTCTCAAGCCAGCCAGTGGCATGAGATCAAGGTGGCTGGATCCCACATGGTCAACTGAACAGTTTAAGTCCCACACCCAGAGGAACTGAAAAATATGCCCAGTAGTGCGTATGCCCAAGTTCAAGAAAGAAGGGAGAAATGGAGAAGGGATTGCTGTGTGACTGTTACCCATGAGGAGTGTTTGTCTCTTTTTGTCTGGTAAGTACATGTGTCCTCTGACAAAAGTAACAAAAAAGAAAAAAAATCAATCGTCATATTTCAGTATACTTTAATTCCCACCCATTTTGCTGGAAAAACACCGCAAAATTGCTTCTTACCTACACACACAAACATATAACAGTGGGGGAAAAAATTCCAATTGAAGAGTTGGCTTTTATTTTTTTCAGTTTAGTGTAGTCATGGGTAATCTCAAGTACAAGTACCTTAATCTAGTACTAGGAAACAGACTTTTTAGCTTCTAAACAACATCTTTTAAAGTTTATTTTTAAGGGTAGGACAGGTTTTTCAACTAGACTTATTTATACATAAATATGTTTACAAATCAAACACATTAGTAACAGGTATACTAATTTTTGTAATAACTGTAAATTATACCATTAAAACCCCCAGTCAGATCTATCACTATTGAAAGTCACAGTATTAAGTGAGCCTTTTCCTTTATGCAAATCAAGATGAGAGGCACTACAGCTACCTTAAACAAAGACCAAAAGAACCAACATCCTTCAGTTGTTCCACACTTGAGGTAACAGTTTTCTACTCTGGTGTTTTGCTAGGATCATAGAGGAAAAGTATATTACAGGATTTATGCCTATTCTCTTATGCAAAACTTCCATATAGTACAATACAGTTTTCACTCAGATACTTACACGTTGTATACTGGAAATCTTCTAAGTACAACTTAAAGTGATTGATTTATTTTCTCTTTTAACTATAAATTGGGCTGATATATATTAAGATACTTAACCAACAGCAAGAGAGTAGGCCTTGCCCAGTAAAAATATTATTTCCCCATTAAAATATTTCACATTCTATTTTTGTCTAAGACATATAAGTCCTATTTACATACACAAGAAAAGTAATTTAGAACAGGAACTCATTCAAGTATGAAGACCCTAGGAAATACACCATTCAGTGAGGATCATTTTCTATCATATCTTCTACTTAAATACTCCCAGAGGGAATATAGCTTCAATGCTTCATATTTAAGTACTCCAGATTCTAAATCATTTTAAAATAATATTTCAATTAACCTACAAAGCTGACAAGAAATAGAAGTCAACAGTACAATTAATGTTTAGATCTCAAGCTCACAAAATTATCAGTAAAAGAAAAATTATTCAAATTTCTCTTTTCTTAGTCTATTATTAAGAAACATGCACAATTATGAATGGAACAGAAAGAAAACAATTGGGGAGAGTTCTGATATTCAAACATCCATGTCTGACCAAAACTTTTAACTAAATGGTGATGACAGAATTAGCCAAGAAATGGATTCAAGAAAGATTAACATCAATACAAGTAAGTAGATAATGCAACATTTAAATATAAACAAACTTCTGTTACTGGATTGACATATTTACTTGTCATCTTACTCAATAAGGTTATTTTTAAATTTCTAATACTGGGGCCGGCAGGTGGCATGGTTGTTCAGAGTGCTGGACTTCCACATGGTTGACTGCAGTTCTAGTCCCAGACCTGGTGGCTTGCTTTCTCACTTTCCCTCTCACTCTGTCCCTCTCTGGTCTAATTTAAATAAACAAATAAATAAATTTAAGTAAAATAATTTAATTTGTTTTTCTGGGACCAGCAGGTAGCATGGTGGCTAAGGTGCTGGACATTCCCAAATGGCCAACTACTGTGTGTGTCCCGGACCTGGTGGCTTGCTTTCTCCCTTTCCCTCCTTCTCTCTGTGTGTGTATCTTTCTGGTCAAATTAAAATAAATAAATGAATGAATAAAATTAAATACTTCTTTTAAGAAATACCTAATACTTAAAAATTCAAAAGAAAGGCCTAAACCTAAAAGTACTTCAGTAATCATAACAGAGGAGCTTATACTATCTTTCTCTTCTGAAAACTGAGAGATGAATTGGGTCATTGATGTTCTAGACCTGTGGTTCTCACCTGGGTGATTTGATAACGTCTGGAGACATTTTTGATTGTCACGACCGGGGAAAGTGGGGTGTTACTGTCATCTACTGGGTAGATCCCAGAGTGCTGCTAAACACTCCTTCACCACAAGAAATTATCTGATCCAAAATATCAATAGTGCCAGGATTTAAAACCAGTTTTAGAGGGAGCTGGGGTATACATACATCTGTTCCATCTCAAAGGTTTATCCAATATTGTAGTTAATAAAAAACAATAACCTAACAGACACAATTATATTTCATGTTAATTCCTACAGAACCATCTTACAGAAGATGTGAATAAAACAAATAATATTATGTGTAGTTATTGCCAGTTTTAACACAAATTTGTAATGAATGACTTCCAATACTACATTTCATCTTAGGAACTACATCTCTTTTTGAGGCTGTGGAACTAGTATATGAAAATATTTGGAAATACTGCCAAACATCTTTTCGGGTCTAATAAAAATGAAAAGTAAAAGACACGAAGATTTTTGCCATCTGAGCTGTTATCATTCAATTTAGCAGTACCTACTGTAGTGACTTATACATAAGAATTAACAGCATAAATTCATCCTAGTACATTTTCCAACCCCCAAAATGTGCCCTACCTCTGTGCAACATAAGTAACAGCGCCAAAGATGGACACTGAAAATACCAAGTGAATCAAATACACTGTGTTAAGATCGAGCTACTGTTAGTAACACTGTAACATCCTCCCAGAAGAAACTTTAAAATGTGTACATGGGCATGTTGATTACAAGTTGGCAGAGAAGTGCCCGCCCGGGTTAGTTTCGGAGCTGCTACTCAGAACGGTAGTTGAGAAGGTCTCCCCACACCATGTTCAGGTCACGCTGGCAGGACACAGCCACTTCAATCTGCGCAGCGTGTCCCCGGGACGCGCAGACCTACCTGGCTGGACCCGCTCCACGCCGCGGTTGAGTGAGGGTAGGAGTCGGGGCTGCGGCGTGGGGAGAGCCCACCCAAAGCGCAGCTCTGGCTTTCTGCGTCTTGACCACGCCGTGGCTCCAGCCCTCCGCACGTCATGGCGAAGCTGGGCCAGATGGGCCGAAGCGGCTGTGCGGCCGCGGGAAGGGAAACCTCTCCCAGCCGGGGAGGGCCTGAGAGTGGGGGAGGACAGTGGGAAAGGAGGGAGAGTCCGAGCCGAGGCCACGCTGACAGGCCTGGGCGAAGGGGATGTCACCCACCTGCGCGACCTCTTCGCCATCCTTCAAGTACCGCATAGGCACGGGCTGGGCGGGGACGCAGGTCAGCCTCCTCCAGCCTCAGGCGAATGCTCCCTCTCCTCGACCCTCCCGCCGCTTTCCCCGCTCCCACCCCGAGGCGGCCGAGTGCGGAACGCACGTCCCCAGCTGGGCAGGACGGAGGGACGGAGGGGCGGACCGCGACGCGCCCCCGGCCCGCGGTGCCGCTCCTAGCCCCGGCCCGGCGCGGCCAGGGATGCCCCCCACATGTCAGGAGGCGCGCTCCTGCCCTCGCCGGCCCCTCCCCAGCCTCCCGGCCTCCGGGCTG